GAATGCTGTCACTTTAAATATCCAAAATGGTCAAACCACTTGTAAACATTCAAGATGGCTGCACCCTCCAGACAGACAAAAGTCCACACCTCAGCTCGCCTTCCTCTTCGCTGCTTCTCCTTTTATTCACCAGCCACCAGACCAGTCCTCCATGCAGTCCCTGGCTTGTTGTTGTTGTTATGTGCCGTTGAGTTGGACCTGACTCATAGCGACCTCTCCTGGGGTTTCCAAGGCAGTATCACTACTGAAGTAGATTGCCCCATCTTCCTTATGAGGAGTGGCTGGTGGATTTGAACCGCCAGCCTTCTGGTTAGTAGTCAAGTGCCTTAGGCACTATGCTACCAGAGCTCCTAGTCCCTGGCTAGCAGGGCTGATTTTTAGGTTAATTCTTAGGTCCTACCACCACTCGGCAATATCCAAGCTGTCTGTGCCATCAGGACCACTGCCAGACCACAACTCTGTATGTCTCCTTTTTTGGTGTTTTCACAAAAGTTCTGCTAGTTGTTTAGTCCACTTCTATATCCTTCCCTTCAAGGCTCATGGGTCCAGGATTATCTTCCATATCTGTATTAATTGGTTCCCCTTTTCTTTGTTGAAGATGGTCTGTGCAGTCTTTCTGCCTATTCTGCCATCTTACCAGAACTCCCCTGATGTCATGTTCTTTATAATCTGGCTTCTCTGATTATTTGCTCAGCATACAGATTGAATAAGTATGGTGAAAGGATACAGCCCTGACACACACCCTTCCTGATTTTAAACCATGCAGTTTTCCCTTGTTCTGTTCAAATGACTGCCTCTTGGTCTATGTACATGTTTCTCATAAGCACAATTAAGCATTTTGGAATTTCCATACTTCCCAATGTTATCCATAATTTGTTATGATTCACATAATAAATTCCTTTGCATAGTCAATAAAACATAAGTAAATATCTTTCTAGTATTCTTTGCATTCATCCAAGATCCATCTGATTTGGAGCTCTCATTCCATGTTCTCTTCTGAAACCAGTCTGAATTTCTAGCAGTTTTCTGTCAATAGACTGCTATAATTGTTTTTGCATTATTTTCTGCAAAATTTTACTTGCGTGTAATATTAATGATATTGTTCAATAATTTCCTTATTCTGTTGGATCAGCTTTCTTTGGAATGGGCACAAATATGGATCTCTTTCTGTTGGTTGGCTAGGTAAGCTATCTTCTAATTTCAACTCTTTCAATATCCAATCCATCACCAACTCCTGCCAATTTTGTCTCCTACATAGCTCTCAAATCTAACCAGTTTCCTAGTTTCCTCCATCCCCATCAGTACTTTCACATTCCAACAGCTCACTCAAACCACTTCAATGGCTTTCTAAATGCATCCACACCAGTCTACTCTCCAGTCTTTTCTCTCCACAACACCCAAATCCTTTCACATGTAAGTCTGATCAGGTCATTCTTGCTTACCACCCCTGTATCCCCCAAAAAGGAACATAAACCTTTAATTGCTTCATATGCTCAAAGAATACAGGGGAAAATAAATAAATACATAAAAAACTGAACACAGCCCACAAGGCCATGCCTGTTCTTCCTTATTAGCCTCAAACCACAAAGTGCTTCCTCTTGCTTTTTGTGCTGTAACTGACCTTTGAGAATTTCCTCCTTTCCATGCTCCTCCCTGCAATACGCTGCTCTCTCTGACTGGAATGCGCTTCCTTCATCTCTTAATCCAGTGTATTGCTACACATCTTTCAGGTCTTAGCTCACTTTTCTCACGTCTTTGCTAAAGTCAAAACTCTAATTCTGTATCTCAAGGAGTCGTGTGCCTATACTTTACACATTTTATCACTGTTGCAATTTTATAATTATTTTGAATGATCTTTGTATCAACACCTCCACTTCACTATTCAGTGAGCACGGAGATCATGGCTGTTTTTCCTCATGCCTGGCACTTAACAGATGCTTTATAAAGCATATTTATTTATGGAGAAATGGGAATAGATAGCACATACCTCTGTTCCTCAAGACATCTGAGTTGTTCTTTTCTCTTCCCAAATACAGCTAGAGGGGAATAGGCTAAAATGCAATCAAGAGGTGGAAGAATCAGGGAGAGGACAGGGAGAAAATTCAGAAGTCTCAGTTTCTCTGATTATAGACTAGTGAAGTGTTAGAAAGGTATACCTCCCAAAGGTAAAGCAACATTCAGTGGAAAATTAGTAAGGGGAAGTGCAGTCTTACTCATCTAATATATGTTAAAACATTTGATATGTTCAGAATCCTACTTTTTCAGGACAAACTTCCTGCCAGTTCCTGCCAGATGACTCTGGCAGTCATCTGACAGTACTACGCTGTATTACTGTAATGCTATAATCGATCAAAAGTCTTGTGCAAGTCTTTGCTTTCACCCAAATCCATCTACCTTTTTTCTTTTTTTTTTTGAGGTTAAACCATTTTATTGAGGAGTTTCTGGGGGCCCAAGGCAGGGTACACAATGAGGTCCCATGATCGCAGTCCAGGCGAGGTCTCCTGGAACTTAACTTTCAGCCACCAAAAAAAAAAAAAAAAAAAGAAGAAGCTCCATCTACTTTTTATGGTCTCTCACTACATTAAAGTATACTTACTATAGAAAAGAGTAAGCATGACACCTTATTCTGTAAACTTATTATACTTTGTACAAGTAAATCAGCTGTCTGCTAGTCAACATGGTTAATGTAAAGGAACTAAACTCTAGGATGTGGCTCTTAAAAATACTGTTAGTGCCCCCAGTCAAAATACAAAGATCCAGGGTCTTACTAGGTGGAGAGATGGTGATTTAAGAAATGGGATTTTCCATTTCATTGGCATATTTGGGCAATTTGGAATCTGGAACATTTCTTTCTTCTTTTAAAAATTATCAACTTGAATAAGTGAACTGAGAAAACTCAAAATTGAAAACAATCACCTTTTTAAACTTTCCCAAACTTAACATTTAGAACTACTTAGAAACAAAAACTTTCTTCTTATTTTTTGTTTATAAACCTGGTGAAATTTATTTCAAATCTCCATTAAGGTATCAAGGAAGAAGAAGATAAGGTGAAGAAGAAAAAGAACCTTTCTTATTTGTTCTTTGCTCTTCATCTCATTTATTGTAACTTGTAATTACCTTGTTTTATTTATCTGATTTTTGTTTGTGTCTGGACTATCTATCCCACAAGACTATAAACAATAGTATATTTTATGTTGCATGCAATTTCTCATGGGCCATTGCAGTGTCAACAGAAACACAAGCAATGCTGGTTAAAAATGCAGATTCCTGGGACCTATTCCATTAGCTGATAATTCTTTTAACTGAAGTTCTGGAGTCTGGAATTTTAATGACCTTTCTAGATGACTCTGAATACATCAAAGTCTGAGCTCTGGAAAAGTCTTCTAATTAGTGGGGGAGCTACACGCCTACAGTAGTAACTGGAGTTATCGAAGCACTATTAACAGCAAGGGCTGCCTAACATCAGATTAAAAGTAGATGTGCTCTCATTTATATGAAATTTCTAGATTAGGCAAATACATAGAGACCAAAGTTCATTAGTGACTACCAGGGGTGGATGGAAGTGGAAAATGAGGCATTATACTGCTTAAGGAGGACTGACTTTCTGTTAAGGGTGATGAAAAAATTTGGAAATATATAGTGATGATGGTTGCCCAATATGGTGAATGTAATTAATGGCACTGAATTGTATATGTAAAAACTGTTGAAATAGCAAATGTTTTGTTCTATATACTTCACAACAATAATTTTTTTAAAAGGAGAAGTGGTAAACTAAAAGTTTGAGTTTCCACCTTTACAAGTAGAATGAGCTCTATATGGGAAAAAAAAAAAAATGGAAATGGCTAATACTAAAAATAAAAGCTGTTATAGAGTATTTTAGAAAACTCAAAATTACAGAAAACTGGTATATGTATTCCCTGAAAGTAGGAACCTCAACTTATTAAACTTTTTATACTTAATGCTAAAGATTGTGCGTAGAACATAGTGTGCACATTAAATAATGAATAAATAAAAGAATTAACCCACCATGTTGACAAAAATACAGAGATAAAAAAACCTAGCTCAAATGAAAATTTTAGGTTTAGGACTTTCTTGTCCATCACCATCAAACAAATATTGAGTGAATACTATGTGCTACTTGGCATTGTAGTAGATTTTTGGAAATAAAATGACTTAAGATTAAACATAGTTCCTGCTTCCATGGACAATGAGACAATTCTAATGATAAATAATAAGAAGGTGCTTATATAGGGGAATTTCACATATCCTGAAAACCAAGTGAAGTGTCAGAGGCAGTTTTTCAGAGGAAATGACAATTCAGTTGAGGTCCCAGGTTGAACGGGCATTAACTAGAAGAAGGAGGGAAAATTCCAAGCAGGGTAAATAGTATCTTGAAATAGTATCTGAGACAAGGGAAAGCTGGTACTTTTAAAGAAATTATAAAAGGCCTATGGGATGGGAGCATAAAAGGGCACAAAGGACATTGCTTTGAAATGAAAGAGCAAGTAAGGGACTAAACAGTGCTAAAATTTTAGTAAGGATTTTGGTCTACGTAAAATACAATGAGAATGTGTAAGAATTCTAAGCAGGGAGATGACAGGATCAGATTTGCATTTTATTTTGGCAGGCTAAGGTACAGAAAGGTCAGAGACGCAGAAACTAGAGCAGATACAAATACAATAATTCAGAAGCTACTGAGCTTGCCTACATAGTGGTGACTCTTGGAAACGGATATGGTTTTAGACGTTAAAGAAAAAAAAAGAAAAAGAAAATCAATAGAACTTTCTCTTTCTTTTTTCACTCTTTGTCACCTTAACTCAATTCTGAACTCAAAACTGAATTAGTTTCTTGCTTCTTGTATAGTTGGTTCAACTAGAATCAACTAACTAGTTGAATGTAAATGGTTAGAAAATCCTTAAGGCCAGAGGAGTTGGGAGAAAATAAGTGAAATAAATAGTTGCTGAATATTTACTTAAATGTTGTTATTCCTTCCATTTTACCACGGCATGCTCGAAATTCTTGCTTGGGTTTAAGGCTTTGAGGTGGAAGAATATTGCCATACGTAGGGTATTTTTCCAAATATTCAGTTGTGAAGTAAGGCACGCCAGAATTTTCATAAATCCTTGTGTTTCCATGTGGACAATGATGTCGTCTGTGCAAACATAAATAAGCTGAAAATTATTTTCACCATCAAATAATTATGACAACTGCATTTAAATCAGAGACCTCAAATAAACTCAATCTGTACATTTTAAAGTTTTACTTAAAAATACAAAAAACAACGCAAGACAAAAAACTCTGTTTACTCTCCAATGTTGTTTACAAAAGCAATGAATAAGTTATGCTACCTTCTTAGGTGGTGGAAACTCACAACAGTTTTGTGTGCTTTCTTATGCCAAAGAAGCCGAAAAGCTGGTAAGTGCATTTCCTAGACCTTTGTAGGGAGGGTCCACATACAATTTAGGCTTCACCTATTAGATATATTCAAATGGGACTTTAATTCAGAGCAGAGTTACAAAAGGAGAGAGGTAGAGCATAATACCTACTTTGCTTACAGCGGAAGGTGGTAGAGAAAAAGAGAATCTGGAGCCAGTAGTAGTTGATTTGCAAGGTGACTTTCTGAATTAGCAAAAGGAGCTCTAGTGGCGCAGTGCCTAAGGCATTTGACTGCTAACCAGAAGGTTGTCAGCTTAAACCCAGCAGCTGCTCTGCAAAAGGAAGATGGGGCAATTTACGTCTGTAAAGATTTACCGATTTGGAAACCCAATGGAGGTAACTGTGAGTCAGAAAGGACTCGATGGCAATGAATTTGGTTTGGTTTGGTTCTTGAATTAGCAGCTTCCTCATCTTGGTAGAGGTGAGTAGTTTTGGAGCCTACAGTTGTGTTGGCAGTTTCCTGATTGTGTCAGAGGCAGTGGCTCCCTTGGCCACACATGATGCAGGACTCACTGCAAAATTAGGGGTTTAAAGGTCATGCATAGAAGTTCTGAATCAGTGAAAGGTTTGGAATTCATCAGTTTTAGTGTTTAATTTTATTTTCCGTGAAAGTAATACATGCACATTGTAACATATCAAACAATGCTTAAGAGTTTATAAAGGAAAACCAAAACATCCTGTCCCAGCATTTCCAATCCCCAGAAGGAATCTCCATTTCCGCTTTTTAGTTTTTCTGGAGGCTGTACCTATTGGCACCTGCCTATAAACTTTGAAGGTCTTGATTCATCAACTTAAAATATTAATTTTTAAAGAGGTAGCCCTGAAAGCACAAATAGTTTGCTAAAAGATAATGACTTAGCTCATTTAACACTTCCCATTCTTCCAAGGTTATTCATTCATTCATTAATTCAGCAAGTACTTAATGAGTAACAGTTATGCAAATGTATTGATATAGTACTGAGAACTGAGAGAACACAGGTTAAAAAATCCCTACCATCATTGAGCTTAAATCCTATTGGGAGGGAAATAATGAAAAAATAAGCCCAAAAGCATATAGTATATTACATAATGGTTAAGAGCAATGGGGGAAAAAAAAAAAAAAAGCAGGAAAGTGGGATGGAGAGTTCAGGGTGAGGCAAGAAGGTTGCAATTTTGTTGTTGTTGCTCTGACTCATAATGACCCTATGTACAACAGAACGAAACAATGCCCAGTCCTGTGCTAGCCTCACAATCCTTGCTATACCTGAGTGCACTGTTGCAGCCACTGTGTCAATCCATCTCATTGAGGTTCTTCCCCTTTTTCCCTTAACCTCCACTTTAGGACGTATAATATCCTTCTCTAGGAAATGTTCCCTTCTGACAGCATGACCAATGTAGGTCAGTCGAAGTCTGGCCATTCTCACATTCAAGGAGCATTCTAGCTGTACTTCTTCCAGGACAGATTTGTTAGTTATTTTGGCAGTCCATGGTACTTTCAGTATTCTTTGCCAACACCACAACTCAAAAGCATCAACTCTTCTTCTTCTTGCAATTTTGCTGTTGTTGTTGTTAGGTGTTATCGAGTGGTCTCTGACTCATAGTGACCTTGCTACAACAGAACAAAACACTGCCCAGTCCTGTGACAGCCTCACAATCCTTGCTATACTTGAGCCCATCATTGCTGCCACTGTGTCAGTCCACGTTGTTGAGGGTCTTCCCTTTTTCCTTCACCCTCCACTTTACCAAGCATGATCTCCTTCCCCAGAGAATCGTCCCTTCTGACAATATGACCTAAGCAGGTGAGACAAAGTCTGGCCATTCTCGCTTCCAAGGAGCATTCCGGCTGCACTTCTTCCAGGACAGATTTATTAGTTCTTTTAGCAGTCCATGGTACTTTCAGTATTCTTTGCAAACACCACAACTCAAAAGCATCAACTCCTCTTTGGTCTTCCTTATTCATTGTCCAGCTCTCGCATGCATATGAAAACTAAAACCAAATTCACTGCTATCAAGTCCACTACAAGTCATAGCAACCCCTCCTTGGGTTTCTGAGGCAGTATCTCTGTGGAAGTAGATTGCCCAGTCTTCCTTCTGAGAAGTGGCTGGTGGATATAAACCACCAGCCTTCTGGTAAGCAGTCAAATGCTTTAGGCACTACGCCTATGAGGCAATTGAAAATACTATGGCTTGGGTTTGGCGCACGTTAGTCTTCAAGGAGACATTTTTGCTCTTTATCACTTGAAAGAGGTCTTTTGCAGATTTGCTCAATGCAATATGTTGTGTGATGTCTTGGTTGCTGCTTCCATTGGTGTTGATTGTAGAACCAAGTAATATAAAGTCTTTGACAACTTCAATCTTTTCTCCATTTATCGTGATGATGCTTATTGGTCAAGTTGTGAGGATTTTTATTTTAGTTTTCTTTGTATTGAGGTGTAATCTATACTGCAGACTGTAGCCTTCAATCTTCATCACTAAGCATATAGCACTTCAAGTAATCCTCACTTTCAGCAAGCAAAATTGTATTGTCTATGTATCACAGGTTGTTAATGAGTCTTCCTCCAATCCTGATGCCATGTTCTTCTTCATATAGTCCAGCTTCTTGGATTATTTGCTCAGCATACAGATTGAATAACTATGGTGAAAAGATGTAACCCTGACACACTCCCTTCTTGATTTTAAACCATGCAGAATCCCCTTGTCTGTTCAAACAACAGCCTCCCGGTCTATGTACAGGTCTATGTATAGGTTCCTCATGAGTAGAATTAAGTGTTCTGGAATTCTCATTCTTCTCCATGTTATCCATAATTTGTTATGATCCACACAATCTAATGCTTTTGCACAGTCAATAAAATTCAAGCAAACATCTTTCTGGAATTCTTTGCTTCAGCCAAGATCCATCTGACATCATCAATATCACTTGCTTGAACAAAGATCTGAAGGACCTTTCATTGTATGTATCTTGGTTATATTTGTGTCTTTAAATAGTACATTTGAACCTCTTTCCTAAATATTTTCCTCCAAATTTCTACCTCCCTTGAACATCGTACTTTCTGTCAGCTATGCTTTTATATTTATTTTATATTACAGGACTTGTTTGGATTATGGCTGTGTTAGACTGGGTTCTCTAGAGAAACAAAACTAATAAAGCTTGTATATAAGTATATATAGAGAAATATATCTTAGGAAAATGGTTCACACACTTATAAAAGCTGGCAAGTCCAAAGTTCCTGGATCAAACGTCAAGCTGGAGGCTTTTCCACATCAAGCTGGAGGCTTTTCCTGACTCTTGAAGCCGTAGGGGCTGAGGAGCTCAAGGCTGGCAGGCAGTACATCGGCTGTTGACTACAATGAATGATGAATCCAAGATCTCCAGGCCGAATGGTGGATTGTTCACTCATGGACAGTTGTAGGCAGCACAACAGAATCCCAATCCACAGAAGAATGTCTCCTCTTCCAGGATATCCATCGATATACTGAAAGCAGGCCATACCCCTAGGGAAACTCCCTTTCAACAGATTGGCCACTCAAAACATAATCATCTGATCTCATCATGGGAACAACCACACCACAACAGCTCAAACCACACAGAACTGTGGTCCAGCCAAGTTGACACACAACTCCAACTATCACAATGGCCTTCAACTCTACCAGTTGCACCTTCTCCTCTCAAGGGTCTTAACCACATGACCATAAGGCACTCAAACAAAAGCTTACTACCCTCAAGGTTAATTATTTTTACTTTCAGTCTATCAATTATTAATGCTTAAAAGCATTGTAGTTTTACTTTGCTTCACTTTTTGAATCATAATTTTACTGTATAGCTTTTCATTATCCTAGTGTTTCTAGCATTTCACACGCACTCAAGATTTCCAACCTCTCTTTAGAATCATCAGTTTATTAAGTTCTCTTTTTCCATGGTAGGCTTTCAAGTTGGAACCTTAACTTTCCCTAGATAAGTAATTTAATTTCATTAAAGGCACATTCAATACTTTTTTACCACCTTAGGGGTCACTGCGTATGTTTCGCTTGGTGGGGACAGTCGTAGGAAGAGGAGATAGGTAACCCATGTAATATAAGGATTCGGACCTTAATCTTTCTGTGTACATCCTACCCTTCTGCCCTCTATTGAATCTATGAATTCAGATCACAGCCTCTCTGAGGTACTGTATAGTGATTAGGCTCTATGCCTAATTCAGAACGTCTCCTTCAGTTATCCGCTTCTTATATAAAAGTGTTCTTATCTTTACCTTTTTATCTTTCAAATATTTGTTGAAATCTCACATTAGTGAGTCTTCCTCTCATTCACTTTACCATTATTTCTACTTGTTTTATATTTTTATGTCAGTAGGTGCTAAAAGACGATAAAGAAACATGATCTTATATGCTATTGTGAACTTGAGGCACACGTCGAGTTACTTCCTATCCTCTAAAAGATCAACCTTTCTCTCCTCTTCTTCCAACTCTCACCTACCATTCCAACCAGGTTATTGTTACTAAGCTTCAATTTTTTTCTAGCATCCCCAACTTTGTTTTCTAATATAGATAACCTATCACAGTTTAATTCACACAAGAAATTATATAAGCACAATGCACAGGAAAAATATTATAGATAGATAATTGCTTTGATCCATAGAATGAAATAAATTTATGTATAAAACTATTTATTTACATGTGTGAAAAATAGATTCTCACAAGAAGTTGAAAAGATAGCAGAAACAGGCCAAAATTCCCTGAGGA